TACGAGGCCAGAAGGGGGCTTCTCCAAAATCCGAAATCGGTAGCCCATGGTTTCCCGCATGGTTTCCCGTATGATCCCTCGTATGGCCTCCCGCATGGTCTGCCCCATGATCTCCCGTATGGTCTCCCGCATGCTCTCCCGTATGCCCTCCCGCATGGTCTTTGTTCTGGTATTCCGTCTTGTCTCTCGGAAGATGTCCCACATGGTCTCCCGCATGGTCCCTTTTGTGCGGTCTCCCAGATCTCACACGTCCTCCCGCATGGTGTCGCGCATGTTCATCTCTACCGTCACCCGCATGGCTCCCCGCAAGGTCTCCCGTCTGGTCTCCCGCATGGCCTCCCGTATGTTTCCCGCACGGTCTCCCGGACGGTCCCTTGTCGGGTCTTCCACAGATGGCCTCCCGCCTCTCACATGGCCTTCCCGCATGGTCTGCCGCACGGTCTCCCACCTGGTCTCCCGCAGGGTCACTCTGCAGCCCGCCTCCCGCATGATCACCCGCCCCGCATGGTCACTCGTGTGGTCTCCCGACTGTTCTTTCGTTCTTAAGTCCTCGCTGTAGTACTCTGTCAACTCCTCTTCGCTCTCCATGGTGCTCTCTGCAAGTGCCCTCTTCTCCGGACTCTCTGAGGCGCTGTTGAGGGTCTTGTGCCTTTCAAGCCCGCGCCAACGGCTTGACGGCTTGACGTGAAGGAATTGGGTCCTGAAGGCAACGGGACCTGGACTCTGGTCGGGCATGTCCTCCTACATGCGGATTTTGAGGACATATGAAAGCATAGCCAAAACAGATTTATACAGAGCCAATAATACCAGAAGACATTAGTCCCCAGACTATCTTATGACTGGTTTTGAAGGTTCCTTCTGTAGAGGTTACCGACGGAAAAACCTGGACCCTGGGGCCTGCGCCCAAGACTTCGGTCGGGCGTGTCCCTCTACAGACGGGCGTTGGGCGAAACAATACAAATACTCACACAATACCCCCAGATAGTCAAAGAAACATCAATCAACAAATAATACCCAGACAAGTTTAAATCATTTTTAGATATTCCTCCTGTAGTGGGACAGGCACGACTTTACCCTCGACAAACATCTCATCCTGAGCTGGTCTTGGACAGCCCAGCCCCAGGGAGGCCCCCCGAGGGCGGACCAAACCCAAGGACACCGTCCCTTGCTGCTTCACCTTGCCGTCGCTCGGTCGTCCGCGTCGTGCGCACTTCTTCCTCGCAAGACGATCCAACGGGTTCCTCCATGGTCCTCGCCGGGAGATCGGCGGCGAGCGAGGGGGGGGCAGTGAGAAGGATAAGGCCTTCTCAGAAGGCGGCAGGACTGCTCAGAAGCCCTTGCGCCTTCCGAGAGGTCTCCTGTGTCTTCGGGAAAGGCTCAGAACACTTCTTTGAAGGCCGGAAGACTTCCGGAGCTTCTGAAAAGGCCCGCCCCTCATCACTTCCTTCCCCCTGGGGCTCGCCGCCGGAAGATGCTCCCCGATGGTCCTCGCCGGGAAAACAAACGCACACGCTGGAGTGATGCCAAGTCATAATCAAGAAGGGCAGCAGAAGGACATATTTAGGTCGGGCATATCCCCCTACAGGCGGATTTTGGACCATATTCCTCTTTCTATATTTTTACAAACCGGGGGGGGGACCCCCCCCAAAAAAAAACTGGACCCCAGGGAGCTGGGGTTCTCGGGCTCCCTTGGACATCCTTGGAAACGGTCACCCGGCTTTCCGGGTCTCCACAAACGCCTTGCCAGCAGACCCAGAGCGATCCGAGGGGTCATCAGGAAGGCTCAAGGGAGGCCCCAGACAGCACAAGAGCGCTCCAAGATGGACTCCAATTGCGTCAGTACGGCCCAAAAGACACCCAAGGAACCCCAAAAAGATTTCCAAGGGGCCTTCAAAACACAAAAGTCGTCCCATTCCCTTTGTAAAACTTACAATTTTAGCATATTCGCCTTTCGGATTTCATCAACTTTCAAGACGGTTTCAAAGCCCCCGAGATCGCCTCCACACGCCACAAAAGGCCCCCAAGAAAGCTTCAAGACGGCCGAGCCGGGCCCCACGATCGCCCACGAGAGCCCCAAGACAGCCCTTAATGGAACCAAGAGGCCCCCCAAGGGCTCCCAGCACAGACCCAAAAGGGCCATGGGAGGCCCTTTAAAGTGCCGAAGATGGGTCCAAAGGGGGCTCCAGCGGGCCCAAGCTCCCCAAGACGGCTCAAGAAGGCCCCAGGACGGCCCATGAAGGCGGGCCCACGAGGGCCCCGAAAACACCCCCACGATGTTTCCGAATGCCAACATAAAGACCCCCAATGCACCCCAAAAGGCTTTCCAAGGGGCCTTCAAACCACACAAATCGTCCCATCCCCTTCGTAAAACTTACAAATTTAGCATATTCGCCTTTCGGATTCCATCAGCTTTCAAGCCCGATCGCCCACGAGAGCCCCAAGACAGCCCATAATGGAACCAAGAGGCCCCCCAAAAGGGCCATGGGCGGTCCCCGAAGTGCCGAAGATGGGTCCAAAGGGGGCTCCAGCAAGCCCAAGCTCCCCAAGACGGCCCAAGAAGGCCCCAGGACGGCCCATGAAGGCGCCAGAACGGCCCAGGAGAACCCCGAAAATACCCCCACGATGTTTCCGAATGCCAACATTCATTGATTTTGCTTCCATGACATTTCACGTTGTGACCCAGTCGTTGAGGGTCTCGTGACATGCAGCGAAGATGCCCGAGGATGCCCCGTACGAGTTGCATATACATGTTCATACCCTTACACATAAAATTATATGTACATATGTACGCTGTATACACATACAACAATGTAAGTATTGTTTACACCTAGACATTTATACGGAACGTGCATGCACGTGCGCGTGTATACATGCATGCGCGCATGTACGCACGCACGCATTCCGCTTGCGTGCAGAACTCAGAGGACCAAGGTGCATGGCGCGCAGCGCCAATGCAGTCTTGTATATATATATATATACACATATTATATATATAACCTCCCAAAAAAGACTAAATAATGTCCCCAGAGTATTGTTTGACTAATCTAGAATATTCCTCCTGTAGAGGGACACGCCCGACTTCACAACGTAAACTCGCTCGAAGGCCCGCGCGGCTCTCCTTTGGGGGGGCCGGCGCTGGGCTCCCCGCCCCTTGGCGAGGTGCGCAGGAGCGCGCCACGGGCGGCGCTGGAGACGCCGCCAGGGTTAGGCCGGGCATGTCTCGGGAGTGGCCAAGAAGGGGTTGTCCAAGAAGGGGGGGGTGCAAATCATGACCGGAGGCACGTGCGCGGCCCAGCGGGGGGGCCAGGGGCGTAACGAAAGAAGACGAGGCGCAACGAAATCTTGGAAAATATCATGGCCCACGCCATGATAACACACACCCCCTAGTCATCACCCCCCTCTTTGCCGCCCCCGAGGTTAGGCCGGGCATGTCCTCCCACAGGCAAATTCTGGGTGATAAATTAAATTATGGTCCTCCCCTCTGTCCTTCCCTCTGTTGCGCCACCTCAGTCGGGGCCGCCGGAATTAGCACTGGTCTCTTCCAACAGTATCCAACAATGATAAAAACAAAAAACACTCCAAACATCGTCCTCCGACTATTTTTTACTACTTTTGAATATTCCTCCTGTAGAAGGACAGGCCCGACTCAACGCCACGGGGATCCAATGCCGACCCAGGAACTCCGCGCGGACCTCCAGACATTCGTGCTGCCATCGATCGGACGTCCGTTCCCCGTGCTCTGCTCGGTTTCGCGTTTTCTTGGGGGGGGCAAAATGATCTAAGACGTTCAAACTTTTGAGGGCACTGGCGTCGCCGAACAAAAAACGTTTCCGAGTGATGCCTAAGTATGCTTTGCCGATTTCGTTGTTCGACTGCAGGGCCCCCTTCCATTGCGGGGAAGTCCGCGCCGGCGCCGCCGCGGCGTCGCGGCGGCGCGAACTCGCGGGCCGACTGTCAGCGGCACGTTCGTGCCGTTCGTGCTGTCACTGCCAAACCTTGAGCGGTCGGCGGCGTCTCGATCGCCAGGTCGTTCCGTTTCATCTTGGCCGATTCTGGGCCACTGGCAGCTGGGTCGTCGCCGGTCGGCACGACGCGAATCCAATTCCCGTACGTAAGCTGCTCCGCCATCGGAGACGCCTGCGACGTGCCACCGGCGCGGCAGCGGCGACGTCAAATGGCCCGAAATAGAGACTAGGCGCCACCCCCTCCGCTCGCGGACGGCCAACGACCAACGACGACGAAGACGGCGGCCGCGACGACGGGGGCGACGTTGCGTTTCGCTTGGAAGCGCCGTACTGAAGGTGGCTCCCGGCCCCAACGCCGCTTCTGAGATATGTGGCGAGTTCCGGAAACCCTGAGCCCCAAAAAGGCCATCTCTTGGAAGGCGACTTCTTACTTCAAAAGGCTTCCGCCGCCTTCCGCCGGCTGCGGCGGCCTCTTTTGACCTCTGCCGCTTCCGCGGGCCTTCCGCCGAGCAAGAGGTGGCAACTCCTGCGATCCTGGAAGGCAAGGCCCTTTCGTAAGGGGATGGAAAAACGACCCTACCCTGGGTTACAAGTGCGTGGTCTGTAAACCTCCTGGGAAGGCCCAGAGCCTAGACAAAGCCGCCAGGACGCCGCACGTCACGCCGCCAGGACGCCGCACATCACGCCGAGGTTCAGCGCACAGCGCCTCGTAAACCAAGGTAGGGGCGTTTCTTGCGCCCCTGATTTTTGGAAGGCTCCATATGGTCATTTTGGCGCCGTCCAGGCCACCACCACGGCAACCATCGGGGATGGACAGACCCCCCTTTAGTAAAACGTGGTTTAGTGAGAACGACCTGAGGCCCAAACCTGGCGGGCGCAAGCCTGGAAAATAACGGCCGCGGCGCCCTCTCGAGAACCTAAAACGGACAATTCACTAATCGACGTGTCACTGTTGGGGGTTCCGTCCACCACGGCAACCGACGACGACGCCGACGCCGGCCAGGACCGCGGCGCGGCGCGCGGCGCGCGGCGGGCTCCTCCGCGCTGCCGTCGTGGTTCTCGCGTCTGATGCTGGCAGCGGGGGGGGGGCCGCGCCGCAGCCGTGGCCGCCGTGGTCGTCGTCGTCGCCGCCGTCGCCGCCGTCGCCGTGGTCGTCGTTGCCGTCGCCGTGGTCGTCGTGGTCGTCGTGGTCGTCGCCGCCGAAGGCCCCGCGACGAAGCGCGGCCCTCTTCCGCTTTCACGGCAGCCCTCGATCGCGGTCAGTCGAATCGACCACATGTACGATTGCACCGGTCGAAGCTAACAGGGGGCTTGGCGGCCCTGGCTTTGTGTGGTTTTCTACCCGACACCAAATGGGCAGCAGCCCCTCCCG